TGGTTGGTTGCTTAGTCAGTGGGAATTTTTGTTTTATTATTTTTTTTTCAATTTTATTTTTGCTCTCATATCCTTTTCAAAGGTCTTGCCCCAACACATTTGCATGGCCCCAAAGATACTTTGTACCTTCAACGGTTATTTTTTTATTTCATCTGAAGGCAGTGGGTATCTGTGTGTATGTTTCTCATATTTCATTCATACCTTGCCTTGTTGTTACAATGTATGCTTGTTATAACTCATATTAATAACCAAGTTAGAGCCCTTTGGCCAATATCATATCACAAAAAATCAAAAAAAAAAAACTACATTCATATATCTTCTGCCAATGTTAATTGTTGTTTTTAATGTTTTCTTTTTTTTTTTTTTTTGTGGGGGCTTAACATTGTTTTGTACATGTTTTGGTTGTCAGAATTTCATCAAAGAACCTTGACTGAGGGTTTTTGCATTTATTTAACTTAGATTTTTCCTTGAGTGTAAATTTTCAATTTAGTAAAAATATAAAAATATTTCATTTCAAGCTTTGAAAGTATTTAAAAATCCAAAATTGTTACATTGAGTGCCAAATTGTAGTGCAAATGTAAGAAACTGCAATTTTCACGTTGGGCGCCACATTTAGAAAAGATCATGGTTTCTAGCAAAAAGAAACGTACTTTGGCGCATTTTCACAATATAATGCAAAATGACATATATTTTTTTAATACATTCCACCTTGGGCGTCAATACTCTAATGTAAATATAACATTCTGCAATTTTTACGTTGGGCGCCACATTTGTAAAAAATAACTAGTCATTAGATTTTAACAAGAAAAAACCTGAATTTCGGCGCCGTTTTCACATTGTCACACTTTAATGAGAAATATCACATTCCTTTTAAACTATGCCACGTTGGGTGCCAATATTCTAAAGTAAATTTATCAAACTCCAATTTTTTACGTTGGGCGCCACATTTGGAAAAAATGACTATAGCATGGATTCTAACAAGAAAAAACGTACCTTGGGCGCCGTTTTCGCATTTTCACAATTTGATGAAAAATATCACATTCCTTTTAATACATGCCACGTTGGGCGCCAATATTCTAAAAAAAAAATAAAAAACTCAAATTTTTACGTTGGGCGCCACATTTGGAAAAAATAACTAGAACATGGATTCTAACAAGAAAAAACGTACCTTGGGCGCCGTTTTCGCATTTTCACAATTTAATGAGAAATATCATATTCCTTATAATACAACCCACGTTGGGCGCCAAATATTCTAATAAAACATATAACAAGGCATCGGGCGGAAGAAATAAAAAAGTGTCATCCATTAATACAATTTTTAAAAATTTTTTTTGTTAAATAATTTTGGAAAATAATACCATGATAAAAAATGGGAAATATTTTGAAAGAATATATTTTTCAAAAAAATAAAAAATAAATAAATAAATAAAATTTTTTCGTAAAGAATACAAAATTGTTTGCCGTTATTATTATTATTATTATTATTATTATTATTATTATTATTATTATTATTATTATTATTATTATTATTATTATTATTATTATTATTATTATTATTATTATTATTATTATTATTATTATTATTATTAGTATTGTTATTATTATTGTTATTATTGTTATTATTATTGTTATTATTATTATTATTATTATTTATTATTATTATTATTATTATTATTATTATTATTATTATTATTATTATTATTATATTATTATATTATTATTATTATTATTATTATTATTATTATTATATTATTATTATTATTATTATTATTATTATTATTATTATTATTATTATTATTATTATTATTATTATTATTATTATTATTATTATTATTATTATTATTATTATTATTATTATTATTATTATTATTATTATTATTATTATTATTATTATTATTATTATTATTATTATTATTATTATTATTATTATTATTATTATTATTATTATTATATTATTATTATTATTATTATTATTATATTATTATTATTATTATTTATTATTATTATTATTATTATGTTTATTATTATTGTTATTATATTATTATTATTATTATTATTATTATTATTATTATTATATTATTATTATTATTATTATTATTATTATTATTATTATTGTTATTATTATTGTTATTATTATTGTATATTATTATTATTATTATTATTATTATTATTATATTATTATTATTATTATTATTATTATTATTATTATTATTATTATTATATTATTATTATTATTATTATTATTATTATTATTATATTATTATTATTATTATTATTATTATTATTATTATTATTATTATTATTATTATTATTATTATTATTATTATTATTATTATTATTATTATTATTATTAGTATTATTATTATATTATTATTATTATTATTATTATTATTATTATTATTATTATTATTATTATTATTATTATTATTATTATTATTATTATTATTATTATTATTATTATATTATTATTATTATTATTATTATTATTATTATTATTATTATTATTATTATTATTATTATTATTATTATTATTATTATTATATTATTATTATTATTATTATTATTATTATTATTATTAAATAATTCAACATAAATTTAAATAAATATTTAAAAAAAATACTTAAATATAATTATTTCAAAATCTTAGTAAAAGGTTTTCATTGGGCACCATATTTAGGATCACAACCAATACATGAATTTTAACGAAACAAAATTCAACTTGGGCGCCAGTATTACAGCTTCACTGTTGGAGGAAATTAATGAATATTCTTAAAAAAAATATCCCAATTTGGGAGTAAGTATTGTAGGCATATCCAATTCGGAATCGATTTTTTTGACCGAGTCATTTTTATGTTTTATACCAAATTATATTGCAATGGAGTCCATGATATCACTTCGAGAAGGATTTTATTAAAACAAGTAAAAAATTGTATGTTCGGTCGGGCCGAACTTTGAATGCCATCCACCATTTGAAGCGAATTTGGCTATTTTTAAAAAAATTAAATGCGTTAAAATTCTGTAAAAATTTTAAAAATTTTATTTTCATCCGAAAGAAAAAACTCCCAAAGAGAGAAAAAAAAAAACTTTTTTAAATCACGTTGGGCGCCGAAACCTCTAATTTAATTTTGTGTCAAGTTTCCATTATTTAAAAATCGATTTTTAAGTTGGGCGCCATATAGGAATATTTAACCTAAAATGTTTTTTATTGGATAAAATTCACTTTGATTCCGGATTCCATGATCCAAGTGGTCTTTCAATACACGTTGAGCGAGATAACAATTGCTGCCCAATACAAATACACGTTGGGCGCCATTTTTACGTTCATAGCTCCAATGACTTTTATGTTTGTTTTCTGTCGCATATTTTCTTTGGAGATACTCTTGAGATTTTTTCCAATCAAAATTTTCCAAAAAAAAAAAAAAAAAAAAAAAGACATTGGGCGCTAATTTCACAGTCCTGTCTGCAAATACATTTATGTATTTACATCCAAAAGAAAAAACCCCAAAAAATTTTTTTTTCATAATCACGGTGGGCGCCAACACCTCTAATTTAATTTTGTGGCAAATTTCGGTTATTGAAAAAAATATTTTTTTACGTTGGGCGCCATAGTAGAATTTTAAATCAAAAATTTTTTCTATGGGACAAAATTCATTTTGGTTGCGGTTTCCATGGAGGTAGTGGTCTTTAAATTGAAAGAGACACAAATCCACGTTGGACGTCCTTATGTTTGCCTCCCTCTCTCTCTGTCTCTCACCTATTTTCTTTGGGGATTCTTTCCTTGAGATTTTTTCCATATCAAAAGCACCTCCAAAAAAATCCACATTGGGCGCCACTATTACGCTCTTGGCTCCAAATAAATTTATGTAATTACAACGAAAAGAAAAAAATTAAAATTACGTTGGGCGCCAAAAACTTTAATTTAATTTTGTGGCAAATTTCCGTTATTGAAAACCCTTTTTTACGTTGGGCGCCATATTTGAATTTTAAAACAATATTTTTTATATGGGACAAAATTCACATTGGTTCCAGATTTTATGACCTTAGTGGCCTTTAAATTGAAAGATATAACAATAATTTCTCAACACAAATACATATTGGGCGCCACTTTTACAGTTCTGACTCCAAAGTCCTCTATGTTTGTCTCCCTCTTGCCAATTTACTTTGGGTATTCTTTCCTTGAGATTTTTTCCATACTAAAATCTATTTCAAAAAAAATCCACATTGGTCGCCACTTTTACTCTCTTGGCTCCAAATGCATTACATCGAAAAGAAAAAAATTCAAACAAACGATGGGCGCAAAGACCCCTAATTTAATTTTGTTTCAAATTTCCATTATTTAAAAATCAATTTTTACTTTGGGCGCCATATTGGAATTTTAAACCTAAAATGTTTTTCATTGAACAAAATTTACTTTTGTTCCTGATTCCATGGCCTTAGTGGTCTCTAAATTTAAAGAGATACAATAACTCATTAACACAACTCCACGTTGGGCGTCACTTTTACAGTTCTGACTCCAATGTCCTCTATGTTTGCCTCTGTTGTCTATTTTCTTTGGAGATTCTCTCCTTGAGATTTTTTTCTATCAAAGTCAATTCCAAAAAAAAAAAACACCACATTGGGCGCCAATTTCTCGGTCCTGCCTCCAATTATCTTTATTTTAGTCTATATTGCCTATTTTCTTTGGAAATTCTCTCCTTGAGATTTTTGTCCATCAAAGTCAATTACAAAAAAAAAAAAAAAACACCACATTGGGCGCCAATTTCACTGCCCTGGCCCCAATGACATTTATGTTTGCCTCCGTTGCATATTTTTCTTGAAGATTCTCTCCTTGAGTTTTTTTCCTACCAAAATCAATTCCAGAAAAAATCCACTTTGGGCGCCAATTTGACGGCCCTTGCTCCAATGACATTTCCGTTTGTCTCTCTCCTATATCTCTCTTTGCCATTTTTTTCTTAGACAAAAAGACGAATCAATTCCATCCAATTTTCAATCAATTTTCTTCGAGTGTATGCAGCATGGCCAACCAACAGGTAAATCTGTTGTAGGAGCGAATGAGAGCCCTTTGTTTTTTTGTGGGGGGAGGGAATATGAGAGAACTAAGTACTCTGTGCCCCATGGCTGAGTGGCTCATCATATAACCTCATATATGCACGTTATTCAGTTTGAAAATAACAAACGGAGTATTCCTCTTCTCCCCTCCACCCCTCTCAAAAAATACGAAAAATCTCTTCTATATATGTATGTATGGCTGTGTGTGTGAGAGAGTTTGTATGACAACTACCTGTTCATCACCTGCATCAGTGTGGCTCTGCTCTGAACTCATACCCAGACGCGCTTTCTCATACTCCCTCCCTGGTGTATTTTTATTGTGCTAGGCCGACGTTGTGATATTCAGTGGAAACAACAAGATTTTACCGCGCGCCATACAATGGCGGTGTTGTTGCTTCTGCTGTTGTAGAAGAAAAGTTATAACAACAGAGATACACGGATACTTGTGGATTGTTGGATGGATGGTTGTATGGATGGCTGGTTGCTTGGACGGACAAACAATGAGCCAGGCAAACTATTGTTCGCTTAGGTAGCTGGCAGCCACTCCAAGCCATAACCAAAAAAACAACAACGAAAACAACAACACAACCGACCAGGCTATAACCCTCTGCTGCTGCGCTCTAAACATGGACTTGTAAGGTAAAGCCTGCATGCCAACGACATCAGTACGTAAATGACCGTGCAACAAACGTGAGTGAGTTCGTTCGTTCGTCCAGTTTAGTGACGTTGCGCGCACCTAACCCAAAACCAACAACAAAAAAGAGAAAAACTTGTACAACATTCGTTCAGCTTAAATGGTTGGTTGGAGTTTTGTTTGTGAATGAATGAAAGAAGGAAAACAAACAAATTCAAAATTTGATTTTAACGGTTTTGAAAAAAAAAAATTGAGAAAAAAAAATCGGATATTTCGAATTTAAAAAATATGTGATGTTGAAATAAAAATTCTATATTTTTTGTGTCTCCATTGCGGGAATTTGAAAAAATTGGCCATTGACCAGTGCTGTGCTACCAAAACAAAAAGTCATTGCTCCCCCCATTGCAAAGCCTGAAAGAAAAACAGAAACAAAACAAAAAAATAATAAAACAAAAATAAAAAAAAAAATAACTGGCCATACAAAAAGTGCAAACTTGTTTGAAAACCTTTTTATGGCTTTATTTGAAATTTCCACATTTTTTGCATTCCCAAACACCATACGAGAAAATCGCTTAAATGAAAATGGAGAAACGATTTTTTTGCAGCTATTTGAGAAAATAAAGCAAAAACACAAAAAAAAATGAATAAACAATATTTTTCTGCTTTTTTCTGGTGGAACTAAATTCCAAAAAACTATAAAATTAATTCAGGCCTGACCATTCAAAAATATTTGTATTTCAACACGCACAGCTAATGGGCTTCAAAGTAATTCAGAAACAGAGAAATTCAAAAAAATCCAAAAAAATAAAAAAAGGAATTCAGAAACAGAGAAATTCAAAAAAAAGAAAAAAAATTTTTTTCTTCCAACAGTGGAATTTTTGTGAGTGTTTAAGCCCAGAAATCAATATTTTCAAATCCCCTGGTTCTCTGTTATTTATTTATTTTTTTTTTCAAAACAAAGCAAAATCTAAAAAAAAAATTTCCCTTCCAACAGTGTAATTTTTGTGAGTGTATTGGCCCAGAAATCAATATTTTTAAATCCCTGATTCTCTGTTATTTTTTTTTTCTTTTTTTTTAAAAACAAAGAAATTTATCCAAAAATCCAGAAAAAAATATTTTCCCTTCTAACTGTGTAATTTTTGTGAGTGTATTGGGCCAGAAATCAATATTTCCCAATCCCCTGATTCTCTGTTAGTTTCTTTCTTTTTTTTTTTTTCAAAACAAAACAAAATCTAAAAAAAAATATTTTCCCTTCCGACAGTGTAATTTTTGTGAGTGTATTGGCCCAGAAATCAACATTCATTTTTTTTAAACAAAACAGAGAAATTAATCAAAAATCCAAAAAAAAGAAAAAAATATTTTCCTTTCCAACAGTGGAATTTTTGTGAGTGTATTGGTCCAGAAATCAATATTTTTATATTCCCTGGTTCTCTGTTTCTTCTTTTTTCTTTTTTTCAAAACAAAACAAAATCTAAAAAAATATTTTTCCTTCCAACAGTGTAATTTTTGTGAGTGTATAGGCCCAGAAATCAATATTTTCATATTCCCTGGTTCTTTTTTTTTTTCAAAACAAAAAAAAAAAAAGAAAAAAATATTTTCCCTTCCTACAGTGTAATTTTTGTGAGTGTATTGGCCCAGAATTCAATATTTTCAAATCCCCTGATTCTCTGCTATGTTTTTTTTTTTTTTTCAAAACAAAAAAAAAGAAATTTAACCAAAAACCCAAAAAAAAAAATAAAAAAATATTTTCCCTTCCAACAGTGGAATTTTTGTGAGTGTATTGGTCCAGAAATCAATATTTTCAAATTCCCTGGTTCTCTGTTATTTTTTTCTTTTTTAAAATAAAACAAAATCTAAAAAAAATATTTTCCCTTCCAACAGAGGATTTTTTTTTGAGTGTATTGGCCCAGAAATCAATATTTTCAAATCCCCTAGTTCTCTGTTATTTTTTCTTTTTTTTTTCAAAACAAAAAAATCTAAAAAAAATATTTTCCCTTCCAACAGTGTAATTTTTGTGAGTGTATTGGGCCAGAAATCAATATTTCCCAATCCCCTGATTCTCTGTTATTTTTTTTTCTTTTTTTTTAAAACAAAACAAAATTTAAAAAAAATATTTTTAAAAAAAATATATCCAACTGTGTAATTTTTGTGAGTGTATTAGCCCGGAAATCAATATTTCCCAATCCCCTGGTTCTCTGTTATTTTTTTTCTTTTTTTTTTCAAAACAAAACAGAGAAATTCAATAAAATCCAAAAATAGAAAAAAATATTCACCCTTCCAACTGTGGAATTATTGTGAGTGTATTGGCCCAGAAATCAATATTTCCCAATCCCCTGGTTCTCTGTTATTTTTTTCCTTTTTTCAAAAAAAAAAAAATCCAAAAACAGAAAAAATATTTTCCCTTCCAGCAGAGGAATTTTTGTGAGTGTATTGGGCCAGAAATCAATATTTTTCAAATCCTTTGATTCTCTGTTATTTTTTATTTTTTTTTTAAACAAAACAGAGAAATTCCATAAAAACCCCAAAAAGAAAATATATTCTCCCTTCCAACTGTGTAATTTTTGTGAGTGTGTTGTCCCAGAAATCAATATTTCCCAATCCCCTGGTTCTCTGTTAGTTTTTCTTTTTTCAAAAAAACAGAGAAATTCCATTAAAACCCCAAAAAGAAAAAAAAATCCGTTCCATGTATTGGCCCAGAAATCAATATTTTCATATTCCCTGGTTCTCTGTTATTTTTCTTTTTTTTTTCAAAACAAAACAGAGAAATTAAATAAAATCCAAAAAAAAAAAAAATATTTCCCTTCCAACAGTGGAATTTTTGTGAGTGTATTGGCCCAGAAATCAATATTTCCCAATCCCCTGATACTCTGTTATTTTTTGTTTCTTTTTTTTTCAAAAAAAAAATCAATAAAATCCAAAAAAAAGAAAAAAAAAATATTTTCCCTTCCAACAGTGGAATTTTTGTGAGTGTATTGGGCCAGAAATTAATATTTCCCAATCCACTGGTTCTCTGTTATTTTGTTTTCTTTTTTTTTTCAAAACAAAACAGTGAAATTCAATAAATTCTAAAAAAGAAGAAAAAAATTATTTTCCCTTCCAACTGTGTAATTTTTGTGAGTGTATTGGCCCAGAAATCAATATTTCCAAGTCCCAAGTTATTTTTTTTTCTTATTTTTCTAAACAAATGTTATGGTTTAATTGTAGCACAACAAACTGTATTTCATTACAACAACAAAAACACCAGTAAAAAAATATATAAAACAACAACACACCATGTGATAGTTTTCTAAGAAAAATCTAAAACAAAATCAAAAAACGACGCTCTGAAAAATAAGTCAGAAAACAAATTTCTAACGGCGAAAACAAAAAAAAAAAAAAACTCAATTAAACTTGGATCGGTAATTGGATTACGAGAAGCGCACATTGGCAGCGCATAACCGCAAATATGCGTATTCTAAAGCATTGGTAAGTGTCTGGAGTAACAGAAACGTAGAACTAACAGTTTTAGTAGACCACAACAAAATAACAAAAAAAAAAAAAAAAAAAAAAATACAAAATACAGCAACAATGGAAAACTAATAAACAAGTGTAACGGGAAAAATATAAACGAGGCAAAGATGGGTGCCAGTACAGAGTTGCAGTATTTCAAAAAAAAAATTAATAAATAAATAAATAAAATAAAAAAATAAAAAACACGAAATAAAAAAAATGTGATTTACGTTGGGCGCCACATTGTAAACTATTGAAAATATGGACTTCTATGGCATGTTGGCCGCCAAGTTTAGATTAGAACTCAAAATTCCACAGATTCTATAAAAATTGCAATGAATTTCATAATAGCCCGGAAAATTTGCTTTTACGTTGGGCGCCACTTTGTACTTTTAGTAATTTTTCTGCCGATTTTTATTGCTCCATTGGAGTTAACAAAAAATTGATAGTTGCGATGATGGATGCCAATTTAAAGATTATTTATTTCCAAAAAAATCAAAAAGAGAAGAAATTAAAAAAAATTGTGATTTACGTTGGGCGCCACTTTAAAAACTAATGGAACTATGGACTTTCAATGGCAAATTAGGCTCCAATTTAACATCTGACCTTAAAATTCTACAGATTCGTTATATTCTACAGAAATTGCAACCAATTTCCTGACTTTTTGGCAAATTTTTCTTTTACGTTGGGCGCCACTTTGTATATTTATTAATTTTTCTGTCGATTTTCATTACTTCATTGTAGTTAGCAAAAAATTAATCATGGCAAAGATGGAAGCCATTTCATGGATCCAATATTTCAAAAGAAAAAATCAAAAAGAAAGAAAGTACCAAAAATGTGATTTACGTTGGGCGCCACTTTGTAAACTAATGAAAATATGGTATTTCTATGGCATGTTGGCCGCCAATTTCACATTTGACCTCAAAATTCTACCGATTCGTTATATTCTATAGAAATTGCAACAAATTTCCTGATTTTTTGTCAAAATTTTCATTTACGTTGGGCGCCACTTTGTAAATGTATTAATTTTTCTGCCGATTTTCACTGCCCTATTGTAGTTAAGCAAAAAAATTAATTGTGAAAAAGATGGGTGTCAATTCAAAGATACATTATCTCAAAAAAAAAAAAAATAAATAAATAAAAATTGTGATTTACGTTGGGCGCCACTTTGATAACCAATGAAAATATGGGCTTTCTATGGCATGTTGGGAGCAAAATTTCACATTGGACCTCAAAATTCCACAGATTCTATAAAAACTGCAACAAATTTCATACGATTACGAATCTCATGTTACGGATTTTATGTTTACGTTGGGCGCCACTTTGTACATTTATTGATTTTTCTGGCGATTTTCACTGCCCCATTGTAGTTTCACTGCTTAGTTGTAGTTAATGGATGCCAATATCAAGATTCATTATTTCCAAAAAAATCAAAAAGAAAAAAATTAAAAAAATGTTGATTTACGTTGGGCGCCACATTGTTAACTAATGAAAATATAGACTTCATATGGCATGTTGGCCGCCAATTACAGATTAGAACTCAAAATGCCTCAGATTCATTGCATTCAATAAAAAATGATAACCAATTTTCTGACTTTGGCAAACTTGGTTTTATGTTGGGCGCCACTTTACACATTAATTCCAATATGAGGATTATAAACATCAAGCCTAAAGAATTGGTCGTAAATTTCAATGTCTACCTTCAGTTAGCTAAGAATTAAGCCAAAGATTCATTATTTCCAAAAAAAAAAAAAAATAAATAAATAAATAAAATTTAATTTTTACGTTGGGCGCCACTTTGCACATTTAAAGCAAATTCTGGTGTTATACGGCATTTTGGGCGCCAATTTCTTAGCTGACACCGAACTCCCACAGATATACTCCATTCAATAGGAAATTGCCACAAAGTAATTAGTAATTTCCAGCCACTTTTTCTTTCACGTTGGGCGCCACTTGGCAATATGTGAAGATTATATATGATAATGGGCATTACAAAAAAAAAAATTGTATGCACAGATCATAATTTTTATAGTCAAAGTGATATCACTGTCTTACAATCGATAAAAACAGAAACAAAAAATCCCACGTTGGGCGCCATAATAAAAATAAAACCTTAAAGTTGTTTCCAATATCAAGTTGGGCACCGTTTCCACATCTGACTTCAAAATCCAGTGAATTTATTCCAATCAATAAAAAATGCCAATAAATTTCATTTTGGTAATTTTTCTTTTACGTGGGGCGCCACTTTCCAATATAAGTAGGATTATAATTATGATTGTGGGCTTATGGTGGACTAGAAAATTTTATAATTTTTTGCCGTTTAATAAGGAATGTGAACTACTTTTGTAATTTCGGGTAATTTTTGTTTACGTTGGCCATTGCAATTCTCATATTGTCATTATAACTAGAGCTCCCATCACATTGGGCGCCAGTTTCATATTCTCGTTGTTTTTTCAGCTTCCAATTAATAAAATATAAATATTTCAACATTACATCATATTAAGCGACACATTGGCAATAAATTCCCATATCACAAAGGTTGTCACAAAAAAATTCTGAAAAAATATGATTCCATCTTCTGCGCCAATTTGTTAAAAACTTTGTTCTTAGTCAATCGATCGTCATTATCTTTGAAAAAAAATGTTCAGTTGGTCAATTTAAAAAATCTGAGAAAGAAAACGAAAAAGTAACTAGTACCCCACGTTGGGCGCCACACTACCTATCAAGGTAAAATCTCTGAAAATGTATGATAATTGATGTCGATAAATTGTACACCAAATTTAATATTGAACCTAAAATGCCATGATTTAATGGAGGAGAAGTAAAGGCAATTTGTCTCATGTTGGGCGCCAAATTTCCTAACAAAGCTAATAATACAGAGAATATTTTTTAACTAAACACCAATTTCATGGTCCATCACACATAGACAATTTTAAAAATTAAAACAAATGTTGTATGTTTTCAAAAAATATACCACGTTGGGCGCCAAAAATCTTTTAAAAATGATTTCTTAACACCTCCTTAACCCACCTCTTTCATAAAATGACTTAATTCCTTTCGAAAAATATCCACCACAAACCCGGCTGCCACTGCTCCTTATGTGACCAAGACTTTAAATAAATCGTCATTTTTCATTTTATTTTCTCTCTACCCTCCCTCTCTCCCCTCCTCTCCCCCCTTCTCTATTCATGGCTCCGTAAAAAAGTCCTTGAATATGTTAAGTGGTCCTGCGGCATTTGATGATGAAGGCAAACTTTTATTAACTAAACAAGGTGCACCTCAATGGGTTTTTTTTTGCAGATTTTTATTTACTCATCTCGAGTAAAAAAATAAAAAAACGATAACAACTAACACGAGAAGGGCACCACAATGAAAGGGGCAGTGACTTTCATATAGAGTCTGGCATGAAAAAGAGAGTATCTCCCCCCACCTTTGGGTACCGACATTGAGGCATTGTTGCATGTCCATGTGCAGTGCAAAGCAATGCAGTTACCGAAATAGTAACATGGAAGGTTTTTGGTCATGCATGAGTGGTCGAGTCAAGTCATAGAAGATGAGGGGGGAAGAGGGGAAAGGAGGAATAGAGAAATTGCCAATTGAATAGTACAACATGTGCATATGGGGAATTGTTGTAGGGGGAGTTTCCAGGCAATTGAATTTTAATTATAGAGTGCAGGGTTGGGAGTTATTAAAACGTTTGTGCAAATAATAGGTTATATTGAAAAAAACTCCCAAATATGGTTTTTAAGCTATTTATCAAATAGTAACTAGGTTATTACGTAATTTTCCTTTTTGTCTAACTATTAATTTTCACAAGTTCTACACTTCCATCTCTGGATTAACATTTTTTAACTTTTATTCAAGTATTTCGTTATAGGAAAAGCTAATTTATTGGGGGTTAATGAGTTTTTTTTTTCATATTTTTTTTATATTTATGTCACTCCCATCCCTGGCATGCACACCGAAAATTGTTTTGACATCAATTCAGTATTTAGTTGTCCTTCTCATCTGAAAATCAATTATTTTTTTCGGAAAAAATGTATTTTTTACTTTTTTTATTAATTCACATAACTCCCATCTCTGGAAGAAAAAATCTATATAAGTTTGTTAATTTTTGGAGCCATAAATAAAAAATATATATATATATTATTCCATCTTTTTCCTAATTCTCCAATCTATATTTTCCATAAGTTCGACATTTCCATCTCTGGATTGCTATTTTTTTAATATTAATTAATGATGAAACTCTTTTACAGAAAAAAATTAATTATTATTTTTTAATTAAATTAAATTTAATGTCCTTGTTTTTATATTAATGCTACTCCCATCCCTGGCATACACTCGAAATATGTCTTCTATGGGATGAGTTTTTTGTTTTCTTCCAAAGTATTAATTTTTTTTATCAAAAAAATTGTTATTTTATTATTTAATTTTTATTAACTCTCCTTACTCCCAGCTCGGGAAATATTTTTTTATTTTTTTATATTTCAAGCCATATAACCAAAAGGGGATGGATTTTTAGGTCACTATTCCAATTCTCCTACCTTTATTTTCTGCAAGTTCTACATTTCCATCTCTGGATTCGAATCGTTTAATTTTTATATTTAATTTTTTTGCAGGAGAAATAAATTTATTACTTTTACTAGGTAGTTTTAATATTTTATTTAGTGACCCATCCCTGGAATGCACTTAAAAAGACATTTCCCATTAATTGAGTATTCAGTTACCCTTGTCGTTCATTTTTTTTTTTTCAGAAAAAATATATTTTTTATTTTTTTACCAGTTTACATTATTCCCATCTCTGGATTACGGTTCAAGGAACATTGATTGTAATTAATTCATACATTATTACCATTTTGGCATATACATGTTTTTCTTTGCCCAAAATAATAATAATAATAATTTTTAAATTTGAATTTTTATTTTTATATTATTCCCATCTCTGGTTGACATTCAATGAAAATTTTTTTCATGTATTGCCTTTTTTTTCTACTTAAGTGTCAATTTCTATATTTTTTTAACAGAAAAAAACATTTATTAATTTAATTTTTTCGACAATGTATTACTC